ACTTAACTTCATTTTCATGAAAGTTAATTGCAGGAAAATATCAAGACAATTAGAAAAATGAATTAAGTAAGTAAAAGGAAAAATCAAGGACTATGAAATTACTTTTAATATGTTCAAAGCTAAAAGTCAGAACTACAATCCATACGTCTAGTCGCAGTGAAATATCAAGAGAATAAAAAGGAAACGTGCCTATCTTCAGTTTGATGACATGGTATCAAAATTAAACATTCATTTTGAGAGTGTGGTATTTGAATAATTTATCTTAAATTTCCATTCAAATATCATAGAAAAATTAACCGCAAACAAAGAACTGTTAAACAAAACATGGTACTTTAATGAATATTACATTTATGGCTATACAATTTATCATTAGAAGTCATTGATTATTTATTCATTTTTGAAAATTATTAATCCCATTATTTGATTATTGTTTAAATGAGATTAACTTTGTTGTTTAACTAATGTTTGCATTACCTAAATTTCACGTGGCAAAGTTTCGCCTTACCCTGTATACATAACTGGACATATATTTTTACGCTGTGGTACGTTTATATATTAAAATAATTATCTTTTTATGAAATTATAATATTGAAATTTATTCTTCGGTATTTTACATATAAAAGTAAACTGTGATGAATCCACAGAAGTTTGTCCAGTTATATTCATTCAATGTTACATTAGTTACCAGTTTCATAAAACACATTAGTTACTAGTTTCATAATATGTATTGATTATCAGTTTCAAAAGACACATTAGTTATCAGTTTCATAATATGTATTGATTATCAGTTTCAAAAGACACATTAGTTACTAGTTTCATAATATGTATTGATTATCAGTTTCAAAAGACACATTAATTATCAGTTTCACAAGACACATTAGTTATCAGTTTCATAATATGTATTAATTATCAGTTTCATAAGACACATTAATTATCAGTTTCATAATACACATTAATTATCAGTTTCATAATACACATTAATTATCAGTTTCATAAGACACATTAGTTATTAGTTTCATAAGACACATTAGTTATTAGTTTCATAATATGTATTAATTATCAGTTTCATAAGACACATTAATTATCAGTTTCATAATACACATAAATCATCGGTTTCATAAATACCATTAATTATCAATTTCATAAGACACGTTAATTATCAGTTTCATAAGACACATTAGTTATCAGTTTCATAATACACCTTAAGTATCTGTTTCATAATACGCATTAATTATCAGTTTTATAATAAGCATTAATTATCAGTTTCATAAGACACATTAGTATTCGATTTGATAATACACATTAATTATCAGTTTTATAAGACACATTAGTTATCGATTTGATAATACACATTAATTATCAGTTTCATAAATACATTAATTATGAGTTTTATAAAATGCCTGAGCCATCAGTTTCATAATATACAATTTGTATTACAATTAATCACTTCATTAGCACTTAAAGTGTACGTATGTTTTTTAAAATAAGATAATTTTTGCAAATTTAAAATGAAAATTGTATATCGCTTGTAGGAAAAGCAGTAAAATTAAATTTAGGTGGAATATGAAAGATATTCTGTAAGCAGGAGTAATGTTTATCATCTCGGACAAAAAAAAAAGACATTCCAAATCTTTCAAATGTAGTTAGAATACCTGTACCGAGCTCACACTAATGTTCCATTACGAAACCGTTTCATAGCTCGTCATTAGAGCGGTGAATGAGAGGCCGTCATTTAGCAGACTTAATCAGGTTACATACGCTCTAGAAAACGATTCAGCTTTTACGTTAAGAATATACAAAGTTGCTCTTTAGCTCTCAAATTAACCAACAACGATAAAGACCTTTTTTGATTGTTTTTGGAGACTAAATGCAGCTCGAGAACTTTAAATGAAATTATTCTCCTCTTCAGCTTACGAAGGAAGAACGTCTAGAGGATTATTTCGTCTAAATAAACAAATAAACCTATCAACTCTTTTAATTACTGGGCAAAGAACAAAACAAAAAACGAATAGCAGTAAATAATCGTATGGATACTTTTAATAATTTTATAACGAAATCGACTATTGCAGTATAAAAGAAAATGAATTTCGATTAGAACGTTCTTTTGCGTCATTATTGCGCAATCTGTTTGAATTTCAGTCCCGGCATATAAGTATAAAAGTTAAAGTGTTTATGCCCTTCCATTCGTAAAAAAAATTATATCATAGTACGATAATATTCTACTAAATAGTTGTCCTGCTCAGGACGACGTATGTCATTTGTTGTTGCTCTGTGAACTGGACTGCTTTCTATGACATATTTTTGTTTGATTTGAATTTCGCGCAAAGCTACATGAGGGCTATCTGCGCCAACCGTCCTTAATTTTGCAGTGAAAAACAAGAGGGAAGGCTGCTAGTTATCACCACCCACCGCTAACTCTTTGGCTACTCTTTTTACCAACGAATAGTGGGTGGACCGTAACATTATAGCGCCCCTACGGCTGAAAGGGTAAGCATGTTTGGTGGGACGGAGATTCGAACCCGCGACCCTCAGATTGTGAGTCAAGTGCCCTGACCACCTGGCCATGCCGGGCCTTTCCGTGACATATCAGTTGTTCTTGTTCTGCGAACTTCTGTCCATGAAATATCAGTTGTTCTTGTTCTGTGAACTGCTGTCCATGACATATCAGTTGTTCTTGTTCTGTGAACTGCTGTTCATGACATATCAGTTGTTCTTGTTCTGCGAACTGCTGTCCAGGACATATCAGTTGTTCTTATTCTGCGAACTGCTGTCCAGGACATATCAGTTGTTCTTATTCTGTGAACTGCTGTCCATGAAATATCAGTTGTTCTTGTTCTGCGAACTGCTGTCCATGACATATCAGTTGTTCTTGTTCTGCGAACTGCTGTCCATGACATATCAGTTGTTCTTGTTCTGTGAACTGCTGTCCATTACATATCAGTTGTTCTTGTTCTGCGAACTGCTGTCCATGACATATCAGTTGTTCTTGTTCTGCGAAGTGCTGTCCATTACATATCAGTTGTTCTTGTTCTGCGAACTGCTGTCCATGACATATCAGTTGTTGCTGTGAAATGTGAGTTTGTCTGTCAGCTTTGATCATGTGGAGAAACTGTATCTAACATAACTAACTCTTTGGTTTATCTATCACTTCAACATAAATGAAATGTATAAGCAAACATGTGACTGGGCATTCACAAAATAAAATGGTAACGGAAAACTGTTAAGAAATGCCATTTTTGTTTATTTCTTCCTTTGTAGATCAGTTTGTCTATTACTTGTCTTTTATTCTTCATGTCATTACACTGCTTTTATCAAATTGAAAATCACACCAGAGGCTGCTTTGTGGAAAGTTCTGACTCTGTACGCTGAACTTTATCAATGATTGGACTGTAACATAAC